GTTCAGCATCTTAGCTGTAGAGGGCAGTGTCACTGGCCCTCGTATGTGGGATCCGAACCGGGGCCCTCTGGCATCCCAAGCCAGCTCTTAACCAACACGCCACTTGGCCGGCCTGCTTCTCACTTTTTGTATCTTAGGATCTCTGACCTGATTATCCCTCTCTTTCCTTCATTCCCAAGGTTAACTCTAGCTCATTTTTCCCTTCTTGGTCCCACCATCTTCTCTAATCAGCCCCTATAAGAAGAGCCTATAAGATCTTGTCTTCTTATTGACTAAGTTCTGGACAAATCATTTTGGAAATCCAGAGTGTCAGGCATTCAAACAAATGAAATACACCCACAAAACTCACCCTGTCATGCCAACGACTCCCAGGTTCAAAGACAGTGGTAATGTGTCAGGCCACTCTGAAGGCACCTTTTGCAGTTCTTTTCCATCAGAAATGGAGTGCGTTGTCCAGCCGAAACTTGCCAATACAATAGTTCCTATTGGAAAGGCTGAGTTTTTACTTTCCACAACTCTGAAAGATAAAGCACATGAAGATATGTGAAACCTCTTCCCTTTCAAGGGAGTCAGGATGCTCTGTGGTAGGTGTACACTAAAAGCACTGAGGTTGATATTCCATGATGGAATACCCTACCCACATCTCTCCATCTTTATTCTGAGCCTCTGGTCTCTCCTCCTTGAGAAAAAATATAGACCATTGGAGAGGAACTGTCTCAACTGGTCCAGCATCGGTCCCTCTTCTACCCCACTTCTCCTCTCTCTAAGAGGTGTCCATTCCCTGTCTCAGGGTGCCCTGAACACCATCCCGTTCTGTTCTTCAGGGGTCACCCTCCATCACTTAGCCCTTCCTCTCTCTTGAATATTTTTTGTTTTTTTTAAGATTTTTATTGGGGAATTGGGGAAGGGGAACAGCTTTGGGGAGTCGGAACAGACAAATTGCTGTCCTTTTTGTTCTTCAGTCTAGTTGTGGAGGACGTTGCTTCACTGGCCCAAGTTGGCACCATCATTGCACTCTTCCCGGGAGAGGAAGATCAGTCACCAGCTTCTGGATGGCCAGTCAAGGCAGCTGCTGGCCACTCAAGCTGGCTGCTGGCCACACATGGTAGGTAGCCCATGGCAACCCACTGCAGCAGGGGCTGCAGCCTACGCCGTCGCCGGCGACCCATGGCAGCCCAGCTCCAGGTTGAGCTGTTGTTCAGCATCTTAGCTGTGGAGGGCAGTGTCACTGGCCCTCATATGTGGGATCCGAACCGGGGCCCTCTGGCATCCCAAGCCAGCTCCCAACCAACACGCCACTCGGCCGGCCCCTCTCCTGAATCTTTAACATTTTCCTCTCTACTGTCCCTTCCCCTCAGCATATATGTATGCTCAACTCTACTATTTTGTATTCCCATCTTCTCCCTACCTCTCCCATCTCTCTCCTTCCTTTTACAGCTAACCTTCTCCGCTTTCCATTTACTTAGAAACCCAATGCAACCTACCTTCTACCCCCACTACTCCACTAAGGTCACAACACTCCCTGATTGAAAAATCCAGTGGACACTGCTTCATTCATTATCTGATTTTACCTTTTTACTGTATTCCACATTCTGGACCACCCACAGCTCTTCCTCATGGGTTTCCAGGATACCGATTTCTCCACACTTTTTACGCCTCCCTCGAAAGTGCTTCTTATCTGTCTCATTTGTTGATTCCCTTTCTTCCTTCTTTTCCTACTCCTACCATTCTTTGCGGTCTTCCACCCCCTCCCCCTGGATCATAAAATATAACATACATTGATTTGAGAAACCTTGAAACATGTAAAAAAATATATCAGTTCCAATACCACAATACAAAGATAACTGATAATATTTTGGTGTATTTTATGGCAATCTTAATGACATATTTTTATTATTTATTATTTCATTTTTTGTAATGGAAGACATAAAACTGTCTTTATTCATAGACAACATGATTATCTATGTAGAAAATTCTTCAGCATCTACAAAAAAACAACTAGTAATGAAATTTAGCAAGGTTGCAGCATGCAAGACTAATATACAAAAATGAATTGTATATCTAAATACTAACAATGAACAATCAGAAATTCACATTTAAAAAGCAGTACTTACAATAGTGTCAAACTGGGTTAATCTGACTCCTTCCTCCCCCAAAATGTGCAAACCTGTATGCTGAAAACTATAAAACATTGCTGACAGAAATTAAAGAAGACCTAAATAAGTGGTGTATATACTATGCTAATAGATCAGAAAAGTCAATACTATTAAGATGTCAGTTATCCTATACATTGGCAGTATCTTAAAACATTAAAGATACACCTATCACATGACTCAGCCATTCCACTCCTAGTCCAGAGAAACAAAAGCATATGTCCACACAAAAATCTGCACATGAATATTCATAACAGCTTTCTTTGTAATAGCTCCAAACTGGAGGCAACCCCAATCCACCAAAAGATAAATAGCTAAACAAGGGAATACAATGAAATACTAGTCTGCAATAAAAACAATGAGCTACTGATACATGCTACCACATGAATCAATGTCAAAATATATATGCTGACTAAAAAAAAAAAAAGCAGACAAAAATGGGCATATACTGTATGATTCTACTTATCTAAAATTCTAGAAATTGTAAACTAATCTGTAGTGACAGAAAGCAAATTAGTGGTTGCCTGGAGATGGGAGTGCATGTGGGGAGGGGTGGGAAGGATGGCATACAAAAAGATGGGAACACTTTTGGGGCTGGTGAATATGTTATCTTGATTGTGATAATGATATCACATGTATTATTTATGCCAATTTACTTTATGTCAATTATACCTTACATAATTTACAATTATGTGAAGAGTTTCATATAAGGGAGGAGGCAGAGAGAGATGACACTGAGTGATAAGTAAGAGTTAATTAAGAATGATAACTGTGGTGGTAAAAACAAGAAAGAAACATTCCAGGCAGAGACGCAGCATATACAAAGCTAGGAAGAACATCGTGTATGGGAAGAACCAGAACGAGACCAGGTGGGACTCAAGTTTAGTGAGCAAGGTGTAGAGTGACAGAGTTGGATGCTGTTGAGGCATACAAGGGCCACGTCATGATGGATACTGAAGGACATATTAAGGATATTGCACATTATCTAAAGACAGTAAGAACCCATGGAAGTTTAAGCATAGGAGGGACATTATCCAATTTTTTAAAAAGATTTTTATTGGGGAATTGGGGGATGGGAACAGTGCTGGGGAATTGGGGGAAGGGGAACAGACTAGTTGCTGTCCTTTTGTTCTTCAG